TGATATAATCAAGTGTGTTGAATTAATACAACAATTATAGAAAGCACGGGTTAATGAGGTTGGCCCTATATGCACCCTTGAGCTGAGACAAGGTTCAAGCCAGTGATCGAGCCACTTGTGGTTCGAGTCGAGCCGTGGCGAACTGGGTCGGTCCCTCACGTAATGTGGCCACACATATGAACTGGTCAGGTCTTAGGGCAAGAGATATAAGAGCCAGTGATTTGTGCATGGTGGGTGAGTGACATGAAGCAGCAAGAAGGATGGTCATTTGTTAGCACATACTAACCCTACCTGGTGATAGATACAAACTTCTGTTCCTTAATGAATTATTTGTGTTTGGAATTAATGAATGTGGACAAATAATGACAGTGTACGCTTAAATCAAATCATAGGAAAAAGTAGATTCCAATTCCAAGACATGTTGTGAATGTGTCCCATGCCGTATGGCTAGTGGTAGATATTAATTAAGTTGATTAATCATATATAAATAGTCAGTAGAGCAAAATTCGTTGTTACTGTGTTTTTAATTTAAGTATTTCAAAATACAACCAGCCATTGCATTATAATTTTGTTTTGAGTCATTTTCATCTCCCATGATCTATATTAAATCTGAGTCTAAATAGCTTTATCTGTAATCATTCTAAGACAAATAAATACTACCTCCGATCCTTAATATAAGAATTAGTTGACTAATTTGAGTAGATTAAAAAAAACCAGTTAAATTAGTTATTTGTAATAAATAGGTATTATTTTTTCTAAAATATTTTTACTAATCAAGTATATTAGTTAAAACAACCATTATTACAAAAATTATTTTGACAAAAAAATAGATAAATATGAGAGACAAAGCAGACCAGGGTCTTATTTTTAGAAATAAAATAAAAGTCAAATGAGCTCTTATATTAAGGACTGAAGGTGGTATTATATATAACATGTCATGATTTAGCTCAATTAATTAATTTGTATGGCCATGAACTAAATTAATACGCATGAATGCATTCCATATATAACACCTGGACTCCTGGAGGAGGTTTGGATCTGAGCAAAAATCATACATAAAACTGAGACTTTTTTTATATCTTTATGATTAACTTGATCTTGCTGGAACTAGTATCCAATTTTTCATCATAAATATATATATTGATAAAGTAATTAGAGCTCATAGTTATTTTGTAGACATTAACAAAATTAAAAATTGAGAAAAGCTCTTGAACAACTAGGCACGTTTTTTCCTTTATACATCATACGAAGTTTGTTTTCGGCCAGACATACGAAGTTTAAGTAACGAATCACATTGCTCGTATGCGGAATACAAATTCTCCCACTTGAGTGAAACTTAAGACCAGTTTAGGATAGCTTAAAAAAAATTATTCTACATTTTACAAAACAAAACTCTATGTATATACCTCGCACAATACAAAATCAATTATTCACAATAATCCAAACCGGCACTTGATTGAAATCAAAAGGTATATATGGCAGCCAATGTTGTTTGCAGTCCTTGTGTGTGTGAGAGAGAGAAGGTGGGGAGAAGGAGGGAGGGAGGAGGGAGATAACTAATTATATGGTTAAATGGAAGAAGCTCTCATAGGAGCAGATAACAATAGAATGATGATTAGGGTTAGGTAGGAAGGGGCGCAATATGTCAAGAGGAAGGATATGAGTAGGTGGTGGTCTCATACCCACTATCCTTTCAGTACACTTTCTGATCTTAAATATAATAGTCAGATATCTAATTTGTTTGGATTAAGAAAACTAATTAAATTTTATAATTTTTCATCAGAATAACTCTTTTGGTTTTGATAGAAAAACTCCTTTTCTCCTTCACCAAAAAAATAAAGAAAAGAAAAACTCCTTTTAATATGCACAGTCAATATGAACAATTTGAGAAAATAATTATTAATTATAAATGTAGGAGATAATAAGTAGATTGAGATCTTGTGGTTATAATCTAAACAAAATCTTCAACTAATTTCTATATTTAGAACAGAAGAAAATAATTATATATCGTCACCAACTTCTCCACTTCACCAGCAATACATATATTTCCCACATGACTCCAACAGTGCATGCACTGGTCTGTCTTTTATCAAATATATATATATATATGAAGTTTTGTTTTATCAAACCAAATCATTTTGATTAGACTACACCACAAATTAGTTATCTCTCAATCCAATTATTACATTTTATATATTTCACTCCTCCATGCATGCCTCCTCCTCTTTCGCTAACCCAAAAGGCTCATCAATCATATGTACTCATTACACAACTAACACACGTTCATTTTAGTAGTAATTAACTAAAACACTACTTCCTTTTTACAAATTTATCAACCAACTCAAATTAATGCCACCTTAATAGGTAAAATTCAGGAAAATTTTTGCATTAAATTATTAAAAACAGTATGAGAAACGCATTAAAGTTTTTATAATGATAAGGCATGTATCAAAAGGTCCCCGACATTGCCACGCCCTAATATGTAGGCATTCTGGTCCTAAAATACTTTAAGAGCATAGGGTAGCCTTTTCTTTTCCTATAGTCCAAGTTAGCTATATGTATTAATACTTTTAATTTTGCCTTTGTGTCCACTGGTAGTTCAGAATATTCAATTCAATCAGCATATCACACTGTTATGATTTAGTGGTCCTCCAAACTCTGTTAATTATTTTTATTAATCATCTTTTTCAATATTACCTGCAGTAATTTTGACTTTTAATATAGGATCAAAGAAAGAGCAAAAAAAGCTCATTGCAAAGGAGAATCACAGTTGTAAATTAAGGGTTCTATTTGAAATTTAAATGCTTTATTTATTTTTCTAAAACTCCTGAATTGTTATTAATTCTACAACTTATTTTTTTTAAAAACTTTTGTGATTATGTCAGGGACTTAATTTCATTAATCGATCTGTTGGGGCCTAATTGCCATGCTCTCTTTTTGTGAAAAGGAAAAAGTAATGAAAGGAGAGGTATGGTAGTAAATTATTTAATTGAGTTCCTTAAAAACCTAGAGGACAAAGAGCATTTGACCAGGAAAAAATAAAGGTAAAGAAAATTTTGAACAGTCCTTTTTTCTTTTTTGTCTGTTTTTTCTCCAGTTTCTCTTATCAGATCCAAGAAAATGTGAATGAGAATCCCAATAAAGGTTGGATATTTTTCTCTGAATTCATCCAATGTGCATTCTACAGCCAGAAAACAAATTGTGGAGATGGATTACTACAACTAGACTTTTCAGCAAAATTTATTTGAAGGTTTGAAATTTTACAAAAGGTTAAAATTTTATTAATAATTCTGATCCTACGGCACGAAACATTTTAGGAGGAAAAAGACGAAATTCAGATTTAAAGCAATTTCATTGGACAGCATTAGAGAGACAGAAACAATAGAAAGTCGAAGGTCTGTTGGATGCTTATATATAAAACAAACAAGACCAAACAAAAGACTTAAAAAAGATATGTGCCAAACGTACGTTGAAGATAAGGTAATAATGAGGCATTTTCAGCAATTTCAACTCAAAAATCTTCAAATGCATAAAACAAACATTGAATAACTCAAGTTCTAGTATCACAGTACAAAATAATATAATAAATGTGGAAAAAATAAAATAAAAATATAAAGAAATAAATTATGGATATATTATTATGAAAATTTATCAATGATTATTTAGTTCCTATTTAGATTTGTTATATATAACTGATTTTGCGCTATACAATACAAATATTGAGAGGAGTTTTGTTTCGTAAAATACAAAAAATTAAACCTTTTTTTAAGCTCTCCCAATCTGGCCATGGCTTGTTATTTTTTGAGTAAATGCATTGAGTTCAGAACTTATAAATGAAAAAGAAAATTAAGCTAATAGAGCTTTTTCTCATATGAAAGCTGATGATGAATAATTTAGATGAGTTAATAACATGAAATCTTAGATATTGTTATTTTTTTAGGAAAAGAGAAGAAAAGTTTAATTTGAAGATTTTAAGTGTAGATGGAAGCCAACCAAACTTGACACGAAGGGTTTAAGAGTATCAAAGAAGATATGCTTGTGTCCACATCTTTGGAGACCATGCCTTACATCTCTACTCTTTTTTCCCATCAAACCCATCATTTGACCTCTTTCCTATCTCTAAGACGTTGCCTTTATTGAAAATTATCTCACATCACTCTTTTCTACTAACATTTCATTTGTCACTTATTAATTTTTGCCAACACAAATTAAGACATATAAGACATGGATGGTTTCACAAAGTAATTAATAAACACAACTTTAAATTCCACGTACACATTATATTGTTTCATCAAATTAGGTTTATGGAATATTTTAGTCGTGGTTAGTTTGATTTCAGAAAAAATCTATATAAATTCTTGCATCAAAGTGTATTAAAAAAAACTATACATTTATATTTAAAAAATAGCCGTCTCTCAATAATTTAGAAACCTTGACCTCATTTAGTGTGATTTTTTTTTTGTCCTTTAAAGCATTTTTATTTTTATAACCAAAAGCACCAATAAATTTTGAATAATAAATTAAAAAAAGTAAAAATAAAAAAATCTCCAACATATATTAACGCTGATATGTAAGCCACTTTTTGACTATTGCTCCCAAGCATATGTGGTGCATGAAGACTGTTAATTTCAAGCAAAAAGAGGTCCCCACACGACATTTATATATATATATAGAGAGAGAGAGAGAGAGAGCATAAGCTTTTCTTTCACTTGCCATCGCATGCCATGAATTAGTGTAGAAATTGTGCCTTTGCATTCAGCTTCATCTTCTTCACCCTCCCACTATTCATTTTTTTCCTCCATCTTCCTCATTTCAAATGTCTTCTCTCTTGTGAAAAGATTGTATATATATGTAATCATACACACCCATAAACATCAAGACAATATATATAGAAGAAGCATTAATTTCAATTGGTTCATCTATAAGATGAGATTGACGTCTAAGTTTAAAATCTCTGCAATCTGAATGAAAAATAAAAGAAGAGATTAAAGAGCCAAACGTCAAAGCCAAGAGAGAAATCTTATTCTCAGAATTGCAAAGCCCCAGCTCCATTGAAATTCTAATGAGAGAGTTAATATACATATTTCTTCTTCTTCTTCTTTTACAAAATTACAGAATGAAGCCGTTGGCAATGGCTCGATTAGTATCGAAATGGGTTGTTTCATACACTGGCAATTCCTCTCGATACCTTTGAATCCCAATAGAAGACAGATTATCTAATTCAAAAAGATCAGAACTTGAACAACTAACTCCGTCGTCTTCTTCTTCGTCTTCATCATGTCCATACTTCATTTCAAATTCCTTTTCTTTCTTCATCTTCGTCTTCAACAATAACTCTCTCGCAATCTCCTCCACCCTTCGACTCTCCTTCATCACATGGAACCTAAGCTCTTCATTACTGTGATTCCTCTTCTTCTCTTGATCATCTTCTCGCATAATGTTCTTTTGCCCGCATGGCCTGCAATCTTCATCTACTATCACACTAACGGGACAAAATCTCACTGATCTCTTAGCCCCAGATCTCGACGAAGGGGTTTTACTTAAGCATGACCTCGAGAATGAAGAAGCCGAAGAACAAGTCGGAGGTTGTGTTACCTTAGACTCATGAGAATTCGACACTGATGATGATTTTGTCTTTTTTGTGTTCCCGCTCGAATTGAAGAGTGAATGGAGAAAGCTAGCGAGTCTGGCGCCAGGAGAAATGGGTTGCTTTGATTTCTTCAAGTCGCCATATAAGATCTTCAAAGCTTTGGACTTTGCTTTGCTAGAACCGTTTTTCTCGTGATTCGACTTCTGGGTTTGCGCAGAATGGGTCCTGAAGTTGTCGGGAGCTTCAAAGGTTGAACTTTGAGGCCGAATCGACGAAGACATACTGGTTCGAATTGGCTTTGGTTTCTGCATTTTGTACCAGGATTCTGACTCTGAAGAAGAAAAACCATAACCAGAGCTCGAGTCAGAGGAGCCCGAGCTGGAGAACACGGAGAACGAATTTGAATTATAGTTGCTTCGTGCTCTTCTTCTATCAAACTCCGTCAAGGAATTCCGACGAAAGTTGGGTTTCTTAGTTTCTCCCACATCGCCGTCATCGAAGAAGTTCTTGTTGCTGGTGGTGGTGATGTTGCTGCTCTGTTTCTGCTTCCTCATGCTCTTTTCTCTGTAAAACACGAGGCGGTCTTGTTGTTTCTCCTCCTCTGCTTCAAAGGATCTGTAAATCGAGTCGAGAAGAGTGGAAGAGAAAGATGGATTTTCCCTGTTATGCCGTTGATGATGATCCCATTTCTCCATCGGTGATCTTCTCTCTTGTTATATAGAAGAATCCAAGGGATGAAAGCGAAGGAGTGAAGAAAGAAGCAGCAGAAACAGGGGACTGTGAAATGGAGGCTATCAATTACTCGGCCTTTCTTGTCTGCTTCAAATAGTACTACTACCGCAAAAGGGATTTGGAATGGGATTGGAGTACTCTGTGTGAATCATGAAACAAAGGAGGGGGGGAGAGAGTGACTAGAGGGAGAGATAGGTACGAATGATTATGCAAAAGCAGAATTGCATGGCCATTTTTGCCCGAACAAGGACAAGGGGTGAGTTAAGCGCCCTGTTATGGAGAAAACAAGAAGCAAGAAGGAGACGTGGGGTATTATTGATGAGTGCTTGATGGTTTTGTTTTTTTGGGTGAACTAAGTGATTGATGGTTTTTAGAGAGAGAAAGTAATCAAAGCCAATTCCACGCCTGAGGAGAAAGAAGAAGAAGAATAACAAGATAGAGAGAGAGAGAATTTTTCGGGAGGCTCTGCTTTTGGAAGCTCTTATAAGGAAAGTGTCGAGGCTTAAGAAGGCGCAATGCAACATCCCCTCTTGTTTTTTCTACCTCTTTAATTTATTTTTCGTAAATTTTTATAGGGATAATAATCTTTAAAATTATTTCATTTTTAAATTAATAATTATAATTGGACAAAATAATTAATATAATAATTTAGTAATTAATAAATAATAAGAATAATAATTATACTAAATATAAATTATTTATAATCATATTTTAATTTTAGATAAATTTATTATTATAATTTGAATTTTATAATTATATAAATTCGAATTGAAAATAAATAATATATTTGTTTAACTAAAAATTTAAAAGATATTAACATAAGATTGTTACAATAATTTTTTATTTTTAAAATGTTATTATTTGTAAATAAAGAATAAAACTACAAGGACCTAATTAAAAACAAAGTAAAACAATAAGGACATGATAAAAAGAAAAAAATTATAAGGACTTGATTAAAAATATATGAAGTATAAGGATCTGATAAAAAGAAAAAAAAGTATAGAGACCTGATTAAAAACCACTTGAAACTATAAGGACTTATATATTAATTATCCCATTTTTATAACATATTATGTTTTCATAATTATATATATTTTTTATAGTTTTCATATTTAAAATTTTGTTGATTTATGATTATGACACTATTTCTATTTTGGGTTTTATATATTTCTTAAAATAAAAAATTATTTAAATTTAATAGAAATGGTAATTTAAGATTATTAAAAAAAAGTAAGGGGTGGGAGCTTGTTGAGGGAGAGAGAGAAAGAGGGAGCCAGGTTGTCAGTGTGGAATGAAGTGGGATAAATTTTGGGTTGATTTGAATTATCGGAACTTTAATTATGATTCAAATTTTTACCTTGTTTTGTGGATTGATCTTCTTTATTTATTTCTTCTAAACTTTGCCTTCATTCATATGAAGTGACACTAGATCTTTGCTTTTTCTTTACAAGAAAAGAATGGAAATTTATTGATGCGCGTAGGACCATGCAAAGCAGATATTGATCTTAACACCACGCACACCCGATTTATTTTCTGGGTCCAATATGTTTTCTTTTCCTTTTCTTTCTTACTTAATAATTAACGTTTTCCCATAAAATTGACCTGCATGATTCACTCAATTAATAATCCTTAATAGGTATACATAGCTTATTGAATCTGTTTTCTCATGATACAAGATTTAATTTAGTTTTAATATATATATATATATATATATAGTGAATGGCTTATAAAGAAAAATAGGAATAGAGTGCTTAAATATTCTAGAAATATCCACAAATGAATACCCATCACTTGAACAATTTTTTTTGCTCTCACCTTGAAAGTTTTGCTTCATAGCATTTCTGTCATGAGCCGCTAAGTTTGATTGTTAAAAACAATAGTCAAACCATATATTTAACAATTAAACTTAATGACGGATAATGACTAGAGTATTTTTACTACGAAAATAAAATTTCAGAGCATATAAGAACCATTTTAGTGCATGTACACTTTTAGACTCAATGTAAAGATTTGTTTTTACCTAATAAAAGAGTGAATTTGAATATGCATAAGCTCTGAAACCCCACATGGGATATATAACACCAAAAAAGCAAAGTTGGTCATGATATAAAGGTTAGTTGGTGTCGTAGGTGACTAGTAAAAATGGACTCTAAAAGTCATCATATATAACAAATAAACTAGATTGTATCTAAATGCACAAATTGCTGGTTAAAAAAAAAAAGCACAAATTATATCTTAGTAGAAATGAATAAAAAGGAAAAACTAATATGGTTCGAATTTTTAATCTAATTTTATCAATAAAATTTTTATTATATAGTTTGATTTGTTTTCTGTTGTCTCCGCATGTCATTAGTTGAACTGAGTGAAATGGCATTGTTTTAAAGCACAAGCCAAGGGCATGTGTAATTAATATAATGATGAACGACATTTGACACACATGAAAACAAGCCATAAAGATTGTATCAAAATTAAAGCGAAAAATTACACAAAATTCAAATTCTTAGAAGAGAAAAAGATGGGGCGCGTTTTTCGGGCTCTACAAACACACATAAAATACCAAAAAAAAAAAGTGCTTAGGTTGCTTTTAATTAAGTAGTTGATAATGATATGACTTATATCTCCAATGAGTTTACATCCTACTAACAATTTATTTTATTGTGAGAATCCATCATGATATAAAGGTTAGTTGGTGTCGTAGGTGACTAGTAAAAATGGACTCTAAAAGTCATCATATAACAAATAAACTAGATTGTATCTAAATGCACAAATTGCTGGTTAAAAAAAAAGCACAAATTATATCTTAGTAGAAATGAATAAAAAGGAAAAACTAATATGGTTCGAATTTTTAATCTAATTTTATCAATAAAATTTTTATTATATAGTTTGATTTGTTTTCTGTTGTCTCCCCATGTCATTAGTTGAACTGAGTGAATGGCATTGTTTTTAAAGCACAGCCAAGGGCATGTGTAATTATATAATGATGAACGACATTTGACACACATGAAAACAAGCCATAAAGATTGTATCAAAATTAAAGCGAAAAATTACACAAAATTCAAATTCTTAGAAGAGAAAAAGATGGGGCGCGTTTTTCGGGCTCTACAAACACACATAAAATACCAAAAAAAAAAAGTGCTTAGGTTGCTTTTAATTAAGTAGTTGATAATGATATGACTTATATCTCCAATGAGTTTACATCCTACTAACAATTTATTTTATTGTGAGAATCCAAATTATATTTTATAAATGCGTTTTAAAGTCGTGTGAAATCAATCTTAGTTCTATTAGGTTTTGATATCTAAGCAAGCTATTTAGCACAATAATTAACGCTATGAAAACGTGATCTCTAAAGTTCATATGACTATGAATCAAAGGATAGTTCTTCAAGATGCTTAGCAATTACTATTCATATTCTTAATATAAGAAAACTAAATAAACATATTTAAAAATTTTTTAAAAAAATACTTAAATTAGTTATTTATGCAAAACAAATATATGGTTCCTACGGCTATTTAATCATGTGTATAAGAACTACCTCTTGGTGAGGAAAAAAAATTAAAAATTTAGGCAAAAAAAATAGATTGAGATTTTTTACCTAAAACCAAATCTAACTTTCAATTAATTTCTGATATTAAGTGCGGAAAAGAATTATAGTTCTAAACTAATCCAACAGATCTTATATTCTGGTAACGGCATAATGAATAGACTTCAGAAGAAAAAACAACCGGCGGGGAGACCTAGCTAGGGTTTTGACTAGAGAGATGTAGGAAGGAACAGCAAAATACAAATATAGTATAGTGAACAGAGTCAATAAATGCGGCTCACAGCAGCACTGAACGTTGGGCTCGGAATTAAAGCTCATCCTCTTTTAACTTAATTAATGAATTAATGAACTCCTCAAAGTAACCATACTATCCTAGAGGAGTACTCCATAGACAGCTAGGTTTATATATAGAGGACACAGGTTTGAACCATGTCATTTATTGTCGTATGTTGACAATGATACTTAGGAGAGCTATAACTACATGCCGTAATCTTTGACTTTGTTATGTCGCTGTGAAGCTGAAGATACAGACACACACACAGATAATATAGACATGTGCAAAGCACCACAAATCATATTTGTTTTACTCCCTCGATCACTTTCTGTTTTAACTTGATTTCTTTATAAGTCTAAGTATTTTTAGTTATATATATAATAGCTAGGCATTTAAATTAAATGAGATTGCGCTTATGTATGCATAACTAAAATGAGAACACAAGTTCGATTCCCAGAAAGCGTTCTTATCGATAGAGGAGTTAATCTGTTAAACGATGCTCTCTATCTCTTTGAGTCCAGATTAGTCAATTGTTAGGATTCCTGGCCTAACAGAAGGTCAGGTTCCACTTAAAGCACTAGATACTGGGTGGGTGGGATAATTCTGTATCACTGGAAAAAAAAGATTGGACATTTAATAAAATTTTCTAGTGTCATTATCTACATTTTTTGTATGTTAATAATCAGGATTAATAATGAGCATCTCTATCGCTTGACAAGATAACAAAAATACTTGTAATTAGTAAAATTTTCCAGAATTATTGTTATTTTTTCCACCATATCAATATTACTAGTAGACTTAAAAAAGAAGAAGAGGATCGATCGAAACTCGATTTTTTAAGTGATGTTAAGGGTTTTTGAATGAAAAAATTCATGTTGAGAGAGTAACCTTTGATTAGACCTAATAATATTTGAAATTAATTTGATAATATTGGAGCCCAAATAAACATATTTTCAAAAAAAGGAAGTAAAAGAGAGGAAGGAAGAAAGAGAGAGGAAGGATGATGTTAGTGGGTGCATGGTGCATAATATTTTCACAATCATTGCTCTCGTGGCTCCTAAACTTTTTGAAGTGAAAAAGCAAAGGCATCAAAGTTGGACCCCAGAACAGATTGAAGCCAAGATGGAATGTTTAAGATTTGATTAACAATAACAAAAGCTTAATCAACTATAGCTAGCTAGCTAGGGCTAGCACGCATGAGAGAGAACATAAATATAAAAAGTGAACATACAAAAAACGGAGTGAGATTAATTAATTAAAGCTCATATGAGCTTCAAAAGAAGTCTCCCTTATATATAATACCCCGAAACCAATTTGGGTGCTCATTAAAGAGTTTATCAAATCTAGATCGTTCATATTTTATTTGGATGGTTTGAATTTTTTTATTTATTTAAAATAATTATTTTAATATGTATATAATTTAAAATAGAGACAATCTCTTAACTATTATTTTTTTCAAAAAAATAGTTTTTCTATTTAAAAATAATTAATTAAAAATTTTAAATATAACCATTCAAATCAGATATAAATAGTTCAGATCTGATGA